CCCATCTTCCTTCTGAGGAGTGGCTGGTGGGTTTGAACCGCCAGCCTTCTGGTTAAGCAGTCAAGTGCCTTAGGCACTACGCTACCAGAGCTCCCTTATATAGATGAGGAAAGTGAAATAGAAATAAAATAACCAAAGTCAGGTAAATGATAAGGATTAAAACTCAGACAGTTTTACTCCACGGTCTAGACCCAACCACCATATGATCTTGCCTCTGAGACCCGATTACTTTCTGATGCCAAAGAAAAGCCTGGAACAAATACATATATGGGAGTGTTTGACAGGCTGCAGAATTTAGTTACTGACTTAAATAGTCAGTGTGGATGGTAATACAAAAGAAAATTGAAAATTACGCTGAGACTATTTGTCTCAGAAGAAAGAGAGGCAAAGATAATGTGTTTCTGACTACACTGAGAAACTAAGTACTAGAGAAAAATTTGGAAGATTGATGATAATAGGGGGAAAAATGAGGTCTAAGTTGCCATCATAAATAATTACACTCCCATTCTCATCTTTAGTATAAGCATCTTGTCTGAACTCTTGCAGGAGAGAAAGTATGCTTAATTGTCAAAGTGGGCAGGTGAGGTCTCTCCTGGACCTTTGTCTGGGAGCTGTTCTGTTATCCACTTTCTACCTAAATCTCTCTCTCTAATTTCTTTTTGCTTTTTGGTCTTCCTTACTATGTCCTTTCTTACCTATCAGATACATCACAGATATTTAATAGCTGCTTTAGGCCTTGCTTGGTCATGTTACATTTCTCTTTACAGATACTGTTATTTTCTTTTTTTTTTCCACACAAACCAAAGTTTATGAAATAAAGAGTAAGGAGGGGAAGGGGCTCGCAAGGGAGACAGAGATGGGCTTTCGCCTGTACTAGCCTCTAGTCTCTTGATACTGTTGTTTCCTGCTGTGCTTTGTCTGCGTGTGGACCTGAGTGTCCTTGCCAAGTGGACAGCTGCTAACGTTCATGTCCCCTCTCTTTACAGTCGATTGCTCTCTACTGGTTGTGCTCCAGCTTCATGGGCCTCTCACAGAACCTGCTGTTGCGTTCTCCTGGATTTCGCCAACTTTGCCGAATACCAGTGACCAAGTCAGATTCACATACTCCTTATAAGGACCTCTTTGCTGCCTTTCATGCCAAGTTGTTTTCAAGAAAATGACATACTCTTTATTAATTTTTAAATAGAAGTGTCATTATAACTTTAGTGTTCTTGGAAAATTTAGAAATACATTTGTTACTTAGTTTGCCTTCATTTAAAATCATGAACTTTGTGAAGTACTTTGGGTAAAGATATAATCTAGGTATGTTGGTTAAAATTCTTTAAGTGCTTGAATGTTGTATATTTAATTGTATACAAAGAATATGAAAATGAAACCAAAGTTTCTAACCCTGTATACAACATTGAAACTTACTTTGGGTGTTAGAAATTTGGAAAACAGGATTAGACCCTGAATGATGTCAAATTATACTAAATATTCCTACACATTAAAATTTTGTAAAATAAGAGGATCTAATATGACGAGTCTTAACATTTTGGGGATGGGAAGAATTTGATAAAGACTATAATTGACTAGAAAAATCCTCAGATGCATAATTTGGGGACCTTTGGTCCTGGTTAAGAAATCTTATAATAGGACATACACTGATGATGAATTATGTTACTGTTAAGTGTTGTCAGGTCAGTTCTGACTCATAGTGACCCTGTGTACAACTGAACGAAACACTGCCCAGTCCTGGACCACCCTTGTAATTGTTAGGTGTGAACCCACTGATACAGCCACTGTGTTACTCCATCTTGTTGAGGAGCTTCCTCTTTTTCACTGACCCTCCATTTTACCAAACATACTGTCCTCCAGGGAGTCATTTCGCCTGGTAATATGTCCAAACTACTTGAGATGAAGTCTCACCATCTAAGGAGCATTCTGGCTGTACTTCTTCTAAGACAATTTTGTTTGTTTTTCTGGCAGTTCATATTCTTCACCAACACCATCATTCAAAAGCATCAGTTCTTGTTGGCTCTTCCTTACTCATCACCCAGCTTTTTCATGCATATAAGGTGATTGGAAACAACATGGCTTGAGTCCGGTGCAGTTTAGTCCTCAAAGTGATATTTTTGTTTTTTAATTTAAGGTGGTCTTTTGCAGCATATTTGACCATTGTATAAAATTTGATTTCTTGACTGCTGCTTCCTTGGACATTGATTGCGGATCCAAGTAAAATGAAACCCTTGACTACTTCAATGTTTCCTTCATTTATCGTGATGTTGTTATTGGTCCAGATGTGAGGATTTTTGTTTTCTTTATGTGGAGATGTAATCCGTACTGCAGACTTTAATCTTCATCAGTAACTGCTTCAAGTCGTCTTCACTTTCAACAAGTAAAGTTGTGTCATCTACATATTACAAGTTGTTAATGAGTCTTCCAAGTCCTGATGCCCTATGTTTGTTCATATAGTCCAGCTTCTTGGATTATTCAGCATGCTGACTGAATAAGTATGATAAAAGAATACTACTCTACTGCAGACTTTAAACCATGCAATATCCCCTTGTTCTGTTGGGAAGACTGCTTCTTGATCTCTGGACTCGTTTACCACCTAGGCCCTATTTTCCAACTACTGATCCTTCTTTGTTTCCAACTTTCATATTCTAATCACCAGTAATTAGCAGTGCATGTTGATTGCATGTAGACAGATTCTGCGTGAGCGTAATTAAGTGTCATGTAATTCCCGTTCTCTGTAGTGTTATCTGTAATTTGTTAAGTTCCACATGGTTGATTGTCTTTTTTTTGCATTATCAGTAAAACACCAACATCTTTCTTGTATTTTCTGCTTTCAGCCAAGATACAGCTGACATCAGTAATAATATCCTTCATTCCACATCGTCTTCTGAATCTGATTGAAATTCTGACAGTTCCCTCTCCATGTGCTTGTAGCCATTTTTTAATTATCTTCTGCAAAATTTTACTTGTGTGTAATACTAATGTTATTGTTTGATATTTCCACAATCTGTTGCTTCACCTTTCCTTGGAATGGGCACAAATATGGATCCTGTTTAGTTACCAGATAGCTATCTTCCAAATTTCTTGGCATAGACTAGTGAGTGTTTCCAATGTTGCATCTGTTTGTTGAGACATCTCAATTGGTATTTCATCAATTCCTGGAGTCTTTTTAGCAAATGCCTTCAGTGCAGCTTAGGCTTCATTTTCACTGCTGTTGGTTCTTGATCATATGCTACCTCCTGAAATGGTTGCACATTGACCACTTCTTTTTGGTGTAGTGACTGTGATATTCCTTCTATCTTCTTTTGATGCTTCCTGTATAGTTCATTATTTTGCCCATAGAATCTTTCAGTTCTGCAACTTGAGGCTTGAATTTTTTCTTCAGTTCTTTCAGCTTGAGAAATGTCTAGCATGTTCTTCTCTCTTGATTTTCTAACTCCAGGTGTTTCCACATTTCATTTTAATACTTTGTCTTCTTGAGCCATCCTTTGAAATCTTCTGTTCAACTCTTTTATGTCAACATTTCTTTATTTGCTTTAGCTACTCTATGTTCAATAGCAAGTTTCAGATCCCTTCTGATAACCATTTTGGTCTTCTTTTTCTCCCTTGTCTCTTTTATTATATTTTTGTATTTTCGTGTAAGGTGTCCTTGATGCCATCTCACAATTCACCTGGGCCTTGGTATTGGTGTTGAGTGCATCAAATCTATTCTTGAGGTAATCTCTAAATTCAAGTGGGATATACTGAAGTTCATACCTTGGCTCTAGTGGACTTGTTTTAATTTTCCTCTGCTTTAACTTAAACTTGCATATGAGCAGTTGATGATCTGTTCTGTAGTCTGCCCCTGGCTTTGTTCTGATAATATTGAGTTCCATTGTCCCTTTCTATGTTGTTGACTCATAGCGACTCATAGCGACCCCTCCTTGGGTTTCCAAGGCAGTATCACTACGGAAGTAGGATTGCACAACCTTCCTTCCGAGGAGTGGCTGGTGGGTTTCAACTGCCAGCCTTCTGGTTAGCAGTCAAGTGCCTTAGGCACTATGCTACCAGAGCTCCCTTTTTATAGATGTAGTCAATTTGACTCCTGTGTATTCCATCTGGCAAGTTTCACATATATTTTGCAACGAATTAGTCATTCGTCTTGCAGAATTTTACCATGTGATCTCTGGAGTCATTTACTACCGAGGCCCTATTTTCCAACTACTGATACTTCTTTGTTTCCAACTTTCATATTCCAATCACCAGTAATTAGCAGTGCATCTTGATTGCATGTTTGATTAATATCAGACTGCACAGAAAATTCACTGCCATTGAGTCGATTCAACTGAAAGCAGCTGCTCCTTGGGTTTCCCAAGCGTTATCCCTATGGAAGTAAATTGCCCAGTCTTCCTTTCAAGGAGTGGCTGGTGGGTGTGAACTGCCAGACTTCTCGTTAATAGTCAAATGCCTTACACACTGTGCCACCAGAGTTCCCAGCACAAAGTGGTAAAAATATTCAATTTCTTTATCTTTGGCATTAGTGGTTGGTGCATAAATTTGAATAATAGTTGTACGAAGTGGTCTTTCTTGTAGACATGTGAACTTTAGTCTGTCAGTAATGATGATGTACTTCAGGATTAACCTTGAAATGTTCTTTTTGACAATTTATGAAATGCCATTCCTCTTCAATTTGTCTTTTTCAGCGTGGTGGACCATATGACTGGCCAATTCACAATGGCCAGTGCCAGTCCACATCAGCTCAGAAATGCCTAGGATATCATTCTTTATGCATTCCATTTTATTTTTGATGACTTGCAGGTTTTCGAGATTCATACTTAGTACATTTCATGTTCAGATCATTAATGGATGTTTGCAACTTTTTTTCCCCCTCATTTTGAGTCATTCCACATCAGTGAAGCAAGGTTCTGAAGGCTTTACTCCGTCCACAGCATTAAGTTTGTCTCTACTTTGAGGAGGCATGGGTCACCACAAATCAAAATTGAAAGCCACTGGTTCTGGTTTTTCAACCCCAGACTAGTTACTAAAGTGATAATAAACAATTCAAGCCCTCAATAGGCACTGGCAAGCCATATACCATCAAGATATTCTATAAACTGAGGTGATATTTTTAAGAAGAGTTTTAAGAATCTTTTTATTGGTGGCAAAAAAAAAAAAAAAATTACAACGGTTACTCCACTGAGCTTGGTCCCTGGGACCAGATCTCATCATTGCTGTGATCCTATGAGGTAGAATACCTTCAGAAGCAATCCTTCCAGGCCTTAGCAGAGTCCTCCTTAGAAGACCTCAAACCCATCCACAAGGGCACAGCTAAAACTAATTATTTTGGAAACCTTGCTGGCTGAATTCAGTATGTCTGATCATTGGTTCTTCCTGCCATCTGTTCTCACCTGAACTCTGTTTCTTATTGTAGTCTGTTTCCTTTTCCTTTACGGAGCCACCCAGTGCACCCTTACTCTCCTACACCTTTCCACTCTGCTCGCCTCCTCTCCACTGTGTACTAAACACACTCTCCTAAAGCTTGTGCATCCTTTTCTACTAGATGTTCCTTTTTCGTCACTCACTTTCTTTGGAACTCGGGAGATGAAGGAGTGGCATCTTAGTTACCTAGTGCTGCTGTGACACACGTTCCACACAGGAATGATTTTAAAGAAGAAAAGGGACTGTTTCACCATTTTGGAGACTACAAGTCCACATTAGGGCATCAGCTCTAAAGAGGGTCCTTCGTTGGTAGTCCCAGGTGTTCCTTGGCATTTCATTCATTCATTCATTCTTATTTTTTTTTATTTATTATTATTTTATTATTTTATTTTTTATTGTGATTTAGGTGAAGATTTACAGAGCAAATTCACTTTCCATACAGCAGTTCACATATACTTTGTCTCATGACATTGACCACAGTTTAACACAATGCAACAGCTCCCCTCCCACTTCCTCCCCATAGTTACCTCTTCCCAGTGTCCATCCATCCATGCACTCCTGCCCCCTGAGCTATCTCCCTGTGCATAAGCAGCCCTTCTTTCTCCCATGATTGTTCTCTCCAAGGACGGTATCTACCT